TATGTAAAAAGATGAAGTACTAGAAAAGGAAAAATACAAAACTCTTTAGCTGTGGTATCCAATGTGGTAGCTACTGGCCACATGTGGCAGTTTAAAATACATAAAAACTTAAAATTTAATTCTTCACTGGCTACTGTATTGGACAGCAAGTACAGATACAGAACATTTCCATCATCACAGAAAGTTCTTTTAGATGATGCTGCTCTAGAGATTTCCTAAAATGTGGCAAACCAAAATATATATTGGTGATTTTCTTATACATAGCACAGCCTTACTTTTATTTTTCAGGAAGGCATGGTTTAAATTATGTTAACTTTTACATGGCATTTTAGATGATCTTCATATTTTTTGTGCTTTGTCATGTTTTAAATACTAACTCTATATCATATACTGCACTCAGATTAGATTATACAGTAAGTACGTATTTGAAGTCATCAGTAGGTTCTTGGAAACTGCGACTTTAAGTGAAACGATGTACAGCATGTCCTCAAATAGTTATTTCAGGAAAAAAAATTGGTTTTGTTATCCATCATTTTGCTTAAAGTCACAATGCTAATAGCTAAGGGTGTATAAAAACTGTGTTGTTCAAAAAAGGCTTTTGGGTAGCTATGAAAATCATTCTTTATTTCAACTAGTAACCTAGTAGGCATGTCCTGCTTCTAGGACAATAGGAGTATACGTTTAGAATTTTTTAGTGCAAATCTAGGGCCACTTTTGAGGGAAAGCAATTGAATTGAAGTACATTTATTATAACAGTGATAACTTTCTATTTTTAGTGAAATCTCTCTTTTTAACTAATGTTGATTGCAGAGGAGATAGTTTTATATTACATTTTCTACTTCAAAATTTAGATGATTTAGACATTTGGAATAAGTTTTAAAAATAGGAACTTATCCACTAAAAGAGCAGGTTGACATTTAACTTTCTGATGTATACATGCAAATTGAAAGTATATATACTCCTTATAAGTAGGAATGTATTTTTATTTGGGGAGGCCTCAGTATGTATATTTTGAAAAAGTTCCCCATGTGGTTCTGATGCATATTCTTGCAAAAGAGTAAGGTAGCAGTCATTTTGGCCAGGAGTATTTTCAGAGAATATCATTGTTCATCATAATCATAAAATAATCAATCTCATTGTCTAATTTTAAATACTGTAACTTCCAGATGAACATTCTAAGATGAAGTCATTATAAAATGTATTTTAATTAAATATTGGCAGCTATCTGCCAAAAAATTATGATTTTTAGAATAACTCCTTTAAGTTAGTAGTTCTTAAACTTTCCTGCACATTAGAATCATCTGGGGAATTTTAAACAAACAAAAACTTTGCCTGCTGGGTGTGGTGGTGTGAGCGTGTAGTCCCAGCTACTTGGGAGGCCAAGAGTTTGAGGATTGAGGCTTGTAGTACACTATGATCGGACCTGTGAATAACTACCGCATTTCAGCCTGGACAACCTAGTGAGACCCTGTTTCTTACAAAAAAAAAAAAAAACTTGCCTGGATCCCATCCCCAGAGATTTTTATTTAATTGTCCCTAGGAATTGGTGTTTTAAAAGCTCCCAAATGAGTTGAATGTGCAGCCAGGATAAAGAACCACTGGTTTAAGCTACTAGGTCCATATAGTGGAAAACATTTTAAAAAAAGAAAAGGAGGAGAAAATCATAGTAGAGGACATGGTTTTATTTGTAGTTGTATTTAAAACTGTTGGAAACATTTGGAACTAATTTATTTTTGTTTTTTTATTCTAGGGTCTCTATGGCAGTGTGATAGTGGCAGGAGGAAACACACTAATACAGAGTTTTACTGATAGGTTGAATAGAGAGCTGTCTCAGAAAACTCCCCCAGTAAGTTATGTTTGTTCTTTAGTGGGATTCTTCAGTCATACGTATCCTCATTGGTGGTGTAATTTTGTAGATCAGGGCTCATTTTTCAGTAGATGGATGGTATTTTGTGTGTGCCTGGTACAATATTATTTAAATAAGTAAATATCCTTTATTAACCAAATTATCCCAGATGACATCTATTGGTTACTCTTAAGTTATTTAAATCTTATTTTATTTATTAACTTCAAATTTAAGTGCCTATAGTCTGCTAGGCAGTAGGGATACAACATATAGTCCCTGCTCACCAAAGGCTCAGTCTACTAGGATGGTTAGGTGTGTAGAAAATATTGACTGTGGTGTGCTAAGTGCTTCGGGATGCCAGCACCAGGTGCTATTGGGAACACTGAGAAGCAAGCACCTAACTCTCTGAAGTGTCAGAGGAAAGCCTTATGAAGCTGTTTTTTGAATGAATTGTTCAGCTCTTGCTAATCAATGAAAGGACACCTAGGTGGAGGGAATACCATGTGCAAAAGTATGAAGAGAAGATAGCACATTCCAGTAATTCAAAGTAGTTGGCTTATTGTCTGTAGAGAAGTGGGGAGAGCAGTATGGCTGGAAAGATAGATGGTGTTTTAGTTTCCCAGGGCTGTCATAGCAAAGTCCCATAAATTGGTGGTTTAAAACAACAGAAATTTATTGTCTCGAAGTTCTTGAGGCTAGAAGTCTGAAATCAAGATGTCAGCAGGGTTGTGCTCCCTCTGAATCTATAGGGGAGAATCCTTCTTCCCTCTTTGTAGCCTCTCATGGTTTGCCAGCAATCCTTGGCTTGCAGTGGCAACACTTCTGTTCTCTTATGAGAACACCAGTCATAGTTGATTAAGGCCCCACCATACTCCAGCATGACTTTAACATATATCTTAATTAAATCTGCAAAAACCCTGTCTCCAAATTAGGTCACATTCACAGGTACCAGGGATTAGGACTTTAACACATCTTTCTGGGGACACAATTGAACCCACAACAGATTGGTGCCAGGTCATATCTTATTAACAAGTAGTTTGGATTTCATTCAAAGATAACAATGAACTTATAGGATAACATCTGGCAAAGGACTAATGAACTCATAACGTTTGTTTTTTAAAAAAATGACTGGGTGCATTGTGATAACTTTTAAAAGGATAGAAGAACCTGATTTGGGGAGAAGGTAATTGACATGGTACATCGATAACTGAATGGCAGTCATAATCAATTTCAATTTGAAAACTTTAAATTTAAAATTTCTATCAGGTGGTTTTTTTGGTAAGGTTTTCTGTGCTAAAAGCTAAATTTCTAAGTTTACAAAAATGTATTAGGGGTTATATAGGCCCTAACAATATCTTTACATTTTTATATTGAATAGTCTTGGTTTTAAGGAATGTTTTACATATGCCACATTTTTATAATAATTAAAAGTGGTATTTGCATTTATAGGCACAAGACTGACATCTGCCTTGTATTTACTAAATTCTTAAGAGACACAGTCTGATCTAGAGCATACCTGAATTACAGTATTAATCATTAGAGTTCATAGAAAGTCCCTGCATAATGAATTAATGAATACAGACATGGGTGGTCCAAGGTCTAGTCAAGACCAGTTAGAAACGATCCTTGTCCTTTAGGAAGTAATTAAAAAATAGAAATAACAGGAAAAAAATTCCATTGTAATAGATACTGATCTTCCTTACCTACAAAAAAAAACCCACGTTCACCCCTCTAGTCCCCCGTACTCTCCACCCGCATCCCACACTCTACCCCTGCCATGCACACATTTGTTTCACTGTCGAAAGACTCAAATTGTGTGTTCGTAAATAGAATAATTGGAACATATCTGCAATTTGAGAACTATCCCAGAGGCAGATTCCTATGTAGGGGGAAAAAAAATCTCCCGATATAGGAAGTGAGATGAGGGAATAGTACCAAGTCATAAAATTATGTATATTAAGAGGGAGTATGAGTTCAAAACAGAAGCACCAATCTGGAAGGGAAGCAGTATGAATAAAAAACTTACCTGAGACCTGATGGCTATATTTTGATTTGGAAGGGCAAGGGTATCAGGAAAAGCATGAAGGCCTAGAAAGGAAGCAATTTGAAGATTGGAGAGGACTACAGAAAAGGAGGCAGATTAGAATAATTAATGTTGGATGAACTTTGGTATAATTAATGTTGGATGTTGGCTGAAATGAAATAATATATGAAGCACTTGGCATAGTACCTGATAGTAAGTGTCAGGTACAGGTTTGCTATTATAGGATATGAATGCTGTACTTTAGTATGCAGTTTTCTAAAGTGTATATGGTTTATCACATATTACATATTAAAAGCCATAATCAGAGTACTTAAAAAACCTTTCTATACAGTAGTCTAACCTATGCTTTTTAGCCTAGCTATTTCCAAATTACCATGTTTAATCTATCAGAGTTTGAGCCACAGAGAGCCATTAAGAAGTCTTTGTCAAAATTGAATTTCCTGAGTCACCAGTTTTGATTGTACTAATGCATATTCTTCCTTCTCTATTTTAGAGTATGCGGTTGAAATTGATTGCAAATAATACAACAGTGGAACGGAGATTTAGTTCATGGATTGGCGGCTCTATTCTAGCATCTTTGGTTAGTAGATGAGCTACTTTGCAAAAACAAAGGTTCTTGCTGAATTATACTAAACTTAGTAAAAATACTAAAAGTAATTCCAGTGCTTCATTTATTTTGTAAGTAACTATCAAATAAATGAGTGGAAGACCTGATAAGAATTACCAGTTTTATTAATGTATGTTCTGATATAACAAAATGCCACTTTGCCTTATCAGTAGACATTTGTCAGTCTAATTTCAATTTCCCTTCTCAGAGGTGGAAATATGTTAATGTATGCATGCCTCTTCTAAAAATACCCTATTTGCACTGGTCATGACTTGTCTACAAGGCATTTAAAATTAAATCATTCCTTCTCAAGTTCTGGTTGTTCCCTGGTCTGTTGGGTAAGGTATAGGAAGTCAGAAATTGGTTCTTGGGGCAAATGGTGAAGTCACGGTGTTGGGTCTAACATGTTGCTTGGACTGGTTGTCTGCCTTGAAGCAGGTGAAAAAGTCGTTGTACTTTTCTGCACCCTAGACTCAAGAGTATTTCCTCTTTACTTCAGAGCAGCCAAAGTAAAAAATGTCACTAAGTACTCAAGCTTTCCAACAATTTCTATTATTGCCTTAAGTTGGCACCAAGCAAGCCATCATAGCTAAACCCTCAGTCTTCCTTGCCAGCCATTTTCTAAATCCTATATAGTGTAGCAGGTATTGAGGGATTTAATATTCTTTCTAACCTTAAAGGCAAGGCTACACAGCATCTTTGGATGGTTCTGGAGGCCAGACGTGAGAGAGTAATGAGTACTTCTTTGGGGGAAGGGACTCTTAAAAAAGTTCTTCAGTTTAGGAGTTGTAAAAACAAAGATATTAAAAGAAAAAAAGTATTTTCTAATAAGTAAGGCATAATTATATGTATTTCTTTCCATTTTATAGGGCACCTTTCAACAGATGTGGATTTCCAAACAAGAATACGAAGAAGGAGGGAAGCAGTGTGTAGAAAGGAAATGCCCTTGAGAAAGAGTTCCCAAGCCTCTACCTTCCTTTGTCACCTTACGTTTCATAGCTTTAGTATACTCAGGAAAAGAATGACCATCTTTTGTAGAATGTTTATACATTTTTGCATATTTCAAGTTCCACTTAAATTTTTTAAGGGTTTAACTGCCTCTATAAATTAAAATAAGTTTGTGCTTTCCTTGAAATGCACTTATTCTTATTGCAAGCATTTTATAATTTTGTATAAATGTCTATTTTCTCTAAATATTTTGCTTTCAGTAAAATGCTTTCCAACTCTGTTTAGTATATTAATTACCAGTGGATTGGTAGAATTGCTTTTCACTGACTAGTAAAAGTTTCTGCCTATGCTTTTTATCTTAGGCTTACAAAATTAAATAAAAATTACTAGCCATTCCAGAAATATTTTTTGGACTGTTTTGCTTTGTAACTTGCTACTTTAAGTACTAAATGTATTTATTATTCTTTTGAGTGAAGTACTCACTATTAATAATATCCATGTCCCCTTCATATCTTATTAACAACAGAGGTAAAACTGTTTTGTTAACTGAATTCCAAAAACTACCTTATTTGCCTTTGCTATGGCAGTTAACATCACTTTCACGTTCTGTAGGACAGCAGGTGACATTAAAGCCTGCTTACGTGTCAGAATTTGTAACATGGGAATTTAATTTGAACTTTATACCTAATTTTTAAAAAATTTGGTAGAAGAACGACCACTTCCAGAATTAGCATGCCACATTAACACTTATAATAATTGATAAGTCATTTGACTAAAAACACAATTTCTTTATAAACCGTTTAACATGTTTATTACTTTTATATATAGACCTAGTATGCAAGAAAAATAAAATGGTAAATTCAGGAGTTCAGACATCTTAGACAAGACTTGACTTCCGAGCTTCAGAAAGATGTGGAAACTTTTCTTGAAGCAATTTTTCTTTCTTTTTCTCTAAACTTTTTTTCCTTGCTCTGATGCGTGCTTCTTTCTCAAGTTTCAGTCTAGAATAATAAAAGCATAACAGCAATTTATACAAAAGTATTTCCGTATTACTCAATACTGTCAAAATAATGTAAAAATCAATTACAGAAAGGCCTCAAACATGCCAGTCTTTGTATCTGCTATGTTATGTATATTATTAAAGCTGAATAATAATTATTGTAAACCTACACAAGTCAAGAGACAAATGTGAAATCAGAAGCATCTGAAACCCTGTAACAACTATCCTTCCTATTTCCTGACTAGAAAGAATGTTCAGATCTTGTAAGCCTACAACAGATTGGACCTGAAGTCCAATCCTGGACTTTCTACCTTATTTTAGAAACACTAATTTTATTGAGTACATTAGACTTTTGATATCCTGAGATACATCCTGAGACTTGTGGGAGTTACCTAATTTCATATAGTACTCTAGCTTATCATTTCCCCTACAGAGAATAAACCCTGCTAAGAGATGATACTTAGGCAGTAGTTAGATTTACTACTCTCTAAGTGAGTTTGTTCCCGTACATTAGCATCCCAAGACACAAGGCATTTGTGCCTAAGCTAAATTATGTTGACCTATAGGGTCAACTTGGGAATCGTCAAAATTGAAAATGATAAATTCATGGATGCCAAATCTCTGCTGCACTTAAATTGGCATTTTAGGGCCAGGTATGGTGGCTCACACCTATAATCCCAGTGCTGTGGGAGGCCAAGGTGGGAGGATTGCTGGAGACCAGCCTGGACAACATAGTGAGACTCCATCTCTACAAAAAATTTAGAAATTAGCCAGGTTTGGTGGCCTACACCTGTAGTCCTAGCTAGCTACTTGGGAGGCTGAGGTGGGAGGATTGCCTGAGTCTGGGAGTTTGAGGCTGCAGTGAGCTACGATCATGCCATTGCACTCTAGCCTAGGTAACAGAGTGAGGCCCTGTCTCTTAAAAAAAAAAAAAAACCCAGTTATTTTTCAGGTTATTTTACTGGTCAGTAGGCATATGTTTATATAAAATAGAGCAATACAATTAAGAGACATACTAAATAACTATAATATGCCAGTGCTATAAGGTCACAGAAATTTGAGATGAGAGTTAGATCTGGATAAAGACAAAAATATGCACATACATAGAAAAAAAAGACTACAAGTCAAAATGAGATTACCCATTCTATTCATCAGTCTTTGCTCCAATTAAATTTTGGCCATTTACAAAAAACCCATCTGAAAGGTTTGCTATGCTTAATATTCAGAAGATTATGCCACATTCTCTGAAGGTAAGGTTAAAAAAACTAGTTTCAAAAATAAGATCATTAGACTATATATAAAGCCTGTAAAAGTAATGGCAGATTGATAAATTCTCATACATTATTTTAAAACTCCCGTTATTTATATCTTCAATTTATATACTAAAGGCCAAAGGATCAAATGGTACAACATTGGGTTTGGATAAATCATGGAGGAAAAAAACCAATCAGTACAGTTAGATTTCTTCAGTTGTTCAGCATCTGAGCTAGGTCTTAAATGTGAGTAAGTGGAAAGATTTAAAAGCTGTAGGAACAGGAGAAGCAAAACGGAGAAATGAGCAAGATACATTTAAGAAACAAGGCAAGAGTTTTGATGAAGGATAAACAGCTAACACTAACTTGTGGGAACACTGGGTGGGGAACAGATTTTATCCTGTAGACAGAAGCCTACTGTATGTTTTTGTTTTTAAAGATGCCGAGAAGTGGGGGTGTCTCTATGTTGCCTGGCCTGGTCTTGAACTTGTGGACCCAAGCGATCCTCCCACCTCAGCCTCTCGAGTAGTTGGGGCTACCAGTACACGCCACCCAGCTACTGTATGTTTTTGAACAGCACTGATGTGATAAAAAGGCGTGAGGAAAAAATTAGCAAAGAAGCAATATTAGAATGGACCAGAGTGAGGAAGATGTTCAGTAATTTAAGTTGATAAAGAGGGACTGCACTAGAGTAGAGACAATAGGAGAAGACAGATCCTGGAGACATTCTGCAGGGAGAATTAAATCAAGGATTGATTGAATCTAGAACAGGGGTCCCCAACCTATGGTGAGTTGTGTAATTATTTCACTATATATTATGATGTAATAATAATAGAAATAAAGTGCACAATAAATGCAATGTGTTTCAATCATCCTGAAACCATCTCCCGCCTGCCCTCCTCGTCTGTGGAAAAACTGTCTTCCATGAAAACAGTCCCTGGTGCCAAAAAGGTTGGGCACCGCTGATCTAGAGCACTGGTGAAAGAGATGACTGATGTTTAGTGCCCACGTAGAACAGAAATACTGCAGATAAAATGAGAAGTAACTGGTTCAGTATGGAAGATGAAAAATTTTAAATGTTATTCTAAAGTATACTAAACAGTTTAAAGTTCAGTTTTAAGATGCATTCTATCCTGTTCCAGTTGTTTTAAGCTTCTTTTGGTATAGAAACAAGCTTTTGGGGGAGAAAATCAGTTTTTGAGGAACTCTTGCTGAAAGTAGAATGCATTATCCAAGGCAGCTGTTAAAAGCTGTGCTTCTTGTGCTATACTAGTTTTTCCCCTTTGACTTTCCAGCTGCTTTCCCAGCCTTGAATTCTGATTTCTAGCACCTATGACCAGGAACCCTGTGGTTCCCCTACCCTGTCTCTCTCTGCAGCTACTGCAACGGGAGCTGAGTAGCACCCTTCCCCAGGAAACCACAACCCTGCATTTCTTTTCCCTTCTAATTGCAGTCTGGGGAGCAAAACTCTTTGTTTTGGATGTGCATCAAATGTTTTATTTTTTATATTTTTTTGAGACTCGGTCTCTGTTGTCTGGGCTAGAGTGTAGTGGCATCATCATACTCATTGCAACCTCAAACTCCTGGGCTCAAGCTATCCACTTGCCTCAGCCTCCTGACTAGCTGAGACTATAGGCACGCACCACCACACCACGCCTGGCTGATTTTCCTATTTTTTGTAGAGACTGTCTTGCTCTTGCTCAGGCTGATCTCAAATTCCTGGCCTCAAGCAATCCTGCCTCAGCCTCCCAAAGTGCTAGGATTATAGGCATGAGCCACTGCACCTGGCCTGGATCTAGTGTTTTAAAGTAACTCTTTTAAAAAATCTTACAATAATTATCAGCTGGTAATTCATAGGATCACTTCACTCCTCTACCTTAACAGAAGCATTCTCCTACTCAATGATAAACCTAATGCAGGAAAAATTCACTATAGGAAATATTTGGAGATCATTCTGCAGGATACTATGTATTCAGATATGATGCAACAGACCTCTCTTCTCTCCTTAGCCCCATTTCTTTTCCTCAGCCTTGCAATAACATGACCTCGCATTTTATGCAACTGAATTGTTTGGACCTTCATTTTAACATTACAGTAGGATTTTCTATATATTTACACATTGACAGATGAACAGAAAAGCAATAAAACTTTTGAAAGGATATGAACTATAATGTTAACAGTGGCTATTTTTGGATGGTAAGATTATATATATACATATGACCTTAACTCTTTTTTACTTGACTTTCCTATTTCTTACTACTTATGTTATAACAGAAATTAAGATTTAAAAAGCTTAACATGTATCTGATGTAAAGATAATATGTTTCATTGTTAAGGGTACTTGTGCTCACCTGTTATAACGTTCCACATAAGGCATTGCAAAGAATCGTTTCCTATGGTATCTTTTATTTAGGTGCCAAGGTATAAACCACTGCTTGAACTTGTGCCTGCCAAGAAAGCAAAAAGTTATTTGTCTTACAGAAAACATTTACTACATTTTCACTTTCTCAACTGACCTCAAATGGGTTAATCCAAACAGAAATTAACAGAAAATAAACATTTTTAGTGAGATGTTTTGGCAATTTCTCTCTTTTCTGTGTTGGATTAGATGGTTATAGACAGCACAGCTAATCCCCTGAATGTGGCTCCAAGCAGCCCCCTCATCACAAACTCCATTAAAAGAACCTATCAAATGAGTACGTGCTAGTAAGTGGTGTAATGTCCAGAGTACAGGGAAGGTCTCCAGCCACTCAAAATGCCTTCTCCATTTTGCTGACAGATATTTACAATTCTAAAGATTCTTCATCTTGGCTGCTCAACCCAAAGGTAAGCAGATCCCCAGTAGAGAGGTTTATTTACACTGGGCCTTCTCAATTATTTATGCCTCAGTGTGAATGCTGATTATCAGACCCTTTCCCAAAGTCTAACAAGACTCTGGGATCTAGATGTAGGAGAGACGAGGAGGTATACAGTTCTCCTAATTTGGCCTAGGGCTTATCCCAACAGCAATGGGAGCAAACTGAACTGGTTCATGTGACCTTAATCCCTGAAAATTTATTTTAGTTAACAGTCCCAGGTTCTCAAAGGGCAAAGAGAGCAGGTATGTATTCTGAAGTTAGCTTCGTGGGTTTTATAATCTTCTGAAATTATATGTGTACATGTACATTTTCTGTAACTTTCATCAAATTCTCAAAGGTCATATGATTCCATAAGATTAAGAATCACTGTAATAAAGAACATATAGATAACTGAATCATGGGAATGGGATGTCTGGGCTGGTATCGGTTTTACCAGATAAAGCTATCTTCATTCATATTCTGGTGTTCCAAAGTGGTTTGCGATCTCTTCTTATATTACATACATCACCAATGTATCTCATATGGTAAGAGGTTTCTTAAAAGATACTGGCAGGGGGCCAGGCGTGGTGGTTCACACCTATAAACCTAGCACTCTGGGAGGCCTAGGAGGGAGGATCACTTGAGGCCAGGAGTTTGAGACCAGCTGAGCAAGAGTGAGACCCAGTCTCTACAAAAAATATAAAAATTAGCCAGACATGGTGGTGCGTGCCTGTAGTTCCAGATACTCCAGAGGCTGAGCCAGGAAGATCTGTTTGAGCTCAGGAGTCTGAGGTTGCAGTGAGCTATGACAATGCCACTGCACTTTAGCCGGGGCAACAGAGTGAGACCCTATCTCAAAAAAAATTAAAAAATCAAAATTAAAAATCAAAAAAAGATACTGGCAGGGGAATGAGGCATGAGATCTCCACTATTATCTTAGAAGAGCCACAGTGTAACTGATGTACCAGATGATTCTTCCAAAGATGTCTCTTCTCCAAGCACCAGGTCTAGCATTTTCTTGACCAGTCTGAAGAAGCCTTAGGGCATCTTCTCTTTCCTCGACAACTTTATCTAATGCATCCATGGACTCTACTACCTGAGAAGAGAAAGATACAATTTCAACAATCACCTATAACAAAATTCCAAAGAAAGAGAATATATATTTTGCCAAAGAACAACTCTGTCGAGTATTTCTTAAAGATCTTTTTGGCACAAGTATGTACACATGAGTGTCTATATTATCACTTTCTATAATTTTTAAAAAGCTCATAATTTCATTTAAATGAGAATCTATTTAGGTTAGATTTCCATATATTAGTTTGTTTGGAGTGGGATACACTTGTACAGATTCATTCTGAAGACCCAATTTGTCTCAAGCTATTTCAAAACCCAATGAGCTAATAAGACATAATAACAATTTGCTATCTTTGTTATATTAATTACCATATTTTGGCTTCAACTAATCACTGTGTCCCTCACATGCAGACACAGATATTTTGGCCTGCTTGGCAGCTGTTGCTATTACAGGGAAAGGAATATCAGTTTATCTTGATACTAATCTCCAAAGATTCATCAAGATGCAAGATGATACTATTAAACTTCTATTTACTTTTATCTTTTTAAGATTTCTATTATTTTCTAATATATATAGTAATATATTAGTAGGTCAATATATATTTGTTTATAAATAAATACTCATATACTGGGAATCGTAATGTCAGATGAGCCAAACTTTTTCACAGTCCTAAATACATACCGAGAACCATCTGTGTGTGTATCACCCCAGAGCATCACAATAGATACCAAACACTGCATACACACATTTGTTTCTTATAAGAATCCTCAAAAAAAGTGCAGATTAGGTTATAAAGATAATTCCCCAGGTAGCTAAGAGACCTGAAAGAGATGTGGAGGTCTCATAACTTTAGATAAATTACCTCATAACTTGTTTATTCAGTTCATACTTGGTACTTCCTCAACTTCACTCAATGCCTTACAGTAGCTGAACTCACGTCTCCCTCTATTTGAATTTCTAAAAAAATCCTTGAGAAATAAAAGATAGGCAAAACAAATCCTATTTTGAAGACAGACAAACTTAGGCCAGTGAAGGGACCACACTGGTAAGGGCTTAACACAAAGCTCTCTAATGTTTAGGAATGTGTAGTCAATTTGGCTGTTGATTGACTACATTAAAGAATTTCCCCAAGCAAGGGCAGGGCTTGAGGCTCCTAACTGAAATCTAATGTTAGCTCCCAAAGATAAAAAGTAAATGGCTACCAAATCCAGAGAGTTAACGTTCAAATGGTTGTGCCAACAGATGTGAAGAAAAATCAGAAGCATCAATTAGGTACACCTTATTCAAAACAAGCCAACCTCAAAGAGCCTTCTTTTCTAGTTTATAAGTTTCTCAGAGCCAACAGTGTCAGCTTGTTTATACAAGAGAGAATACAAAATTAATGGGACTGTGTTTGAGAGTCTAGAGCACACACTTCTATTTGTAGTTAGGAATTACATTTAGAGAGTAACCCTTGAAACACATTTTTTAAAAGAGACTAAAAAAACACATTTGTAAAATTATAATCAATCTTTTAGCATTTGTCTTGTTTCTGTATTTCAAACACAGAGGGACTAACACAAGATCATATATTTACGTGATCCATAAATACTAATACTGTGAAGAGAGGCACATACATATGGTCTGGGTTTTTAATCTCAAAAGGGTACTTAATTACTTTAGTCAGAATTCTACCAGAATTGCAAAGTTTCTTCTCCAAATTTAATATTGTCCTGAAAATAAAACTTGTTAATTTGCTTGAACTGGGTATCAACCCAGATCAGCCCAGTGATAAGAATTACATCCCAATTATAATTCTTGTTTTCTCCTTTACTCTTTCTTAAACAGTTCCAAATCTTCTGTTTTCAATATCTTATATTGAGAATAATTCTTTTTGACTTTTGCTTGATAAAGTTTCCTTAGTAGATGGTCACAAAACACTGGGAACACTAGATATATTTAAAGTTTAAAAAAAAATTATGACCACGTATAGCTTACCTGGAGTAAACTTTCACTATTTTGGACTCTACTAATTTAGAAAAGTACAGTACATATGACATATTGGGCTGAAGTTCACCCCTGAATTATACATTTAAAGCAGAAGAAGGGGATAATCTATTACTGAAGTTCAAAAATCTTATAATAGCAAAGCTTTTTCATCAAGTAAACAATGTGTTATTTATAAAGCATCCTTATTTGTCAATACAATTTAAAAAGTCTCTGAAACAGAAATTTTCTTAACAGCCGAGTTAGGAAACATACCTGAAAATAAACCACATCACTTTATAAATGTTACGTAGCAAGGAGGATACCTACAATGCAGATCTTAGTTTATATTATTCTCCATTAAAAGGAATCAGGTTCCACTATTAAATGATTGATTCCAGGGCTGGGGCAGGGAAAGGACAAGATGAATCCAGAACATCATGCTGTGCCCCATCAAAGAGTGATGAGGACAAAGAGCCCATCAAAGAGTGACGAGGACAAAGGGCCCAGCTTTAAGGAACTTGCACTGGCCAAATCGGGAATGATGGTATTAATATTAAAAGATTATAACCCACTGAATAAAACTGCAATTCACAAGTCCACATTGATAGATAAATGAACTAACACAGAAAGAAATGGGGAGAAGGGAAAGCCCTTCCCTTCAGCAGAAAGACAATAAATGTAGAATAAATGATAGGATTAGAAAACACCATCTAGCAATTATAATAATTGTAATAATAATTGATTCAGGTAAGAATCATCAATAGATGCTAAAACCAGTGAGTGAAAGCTGAGGAGTTATAGGATATTTACATGATCTCTAAGTATTATTTACTTAAATACAAAGAAAAAATAGTAACTACTGCATACAGAGGAAAAAACTGAAAGACCACCTTAGTCAAGTTATTAATGCTAATATCAACAGTAACAGAATAAATCAATATCCTGTACACCTCCTGATATGCTGCACTGTGAAGAATAAAACATCACTTCTACGATACTCCTGCCAATCTTATCATGAGAAACATCACACAAACTCAAATTGAGGGACTGGCCTATACTCTTCAAAAATGTCAACACCCTTCCTTTCAGCTGGAACCGCCATCTTCCAGTAATTTGCCAAAATGACGAACGCAAAGGGAAAGAGGAGAGGCACCCGACACACGTTCTCTATGTCTTTTAGAAAACATGAGCTTTTTCCTTTGGCCACATACATGTGAATCTACAAGAAAGGTGATACCATAGACATCAAAAGAATCAGTACTGTCTGAAAAGGCATGCCCCACAAATGTCACCTGGCAAAACTGGAAGAGTCTACAATGTTACCCAGCATGCGGTTGGCATTGTAAACAAACAAGTTAAGAGAGCAAGATTCTTGCCAAGAGGATCAATGGGCGTACTGAACATATTAAGCACTCTAAGAACCAAGATAGCTTCCTGAAACATGTGAAGGAAAATGATCAAAAAAAGGAGGAAGCCAAAGAGAAAGGTACCTGGGTTCAGCGGAAGTGCCAGCCTGCTCCACCCAGAGAAGCACTCTTTGTGAGCAGCAATGGAAAGGAGCCTGAACTCCTGGAACCTATTCCCTATGAACTCATGGCATAAGAGGTGTAAAAAATAAAAGACCCCTAGACTGTAAAAAAAAAAAAAAAAGTCAATGTCATGAAACACAGAAACTGAGTCTCCACCTTAAAGGAGACTAAAGAGACACAAAAACTGAAAATGTGTGATCCAGGATTTTCTTTTGCTATAAAGGACATTGTTGGGATAAGTGTTAAAATCTAAATAAGATCTGTAGATTATAGGTAATAATATTTTATCAATGTTAATTTCCTGATTTTAAAAATTATATCATAGTTATGTAGGGAAATATCCTTGTTTTTCTGGAAATATACAATTAAGTTTTCATGGATAAAAGGATATAATGTATATAACTTACTCTCAAACATTTGAGAAAAAAATTGTGTGGAGGGGTGGTGGAGACAGAGATAATGTAAATGTGGTAAAATAATCACATAAGGAATCTAAATGAGGGGTATATGAGAATTCTTTGTACTGTTCTTGTAATTTTTCTCTAAGTCTAAATTATGTCAAGATAAAGTTAAAAAAACAAACACAAAAATGTTATAAAACTCAACTTTCACTAAATCAGAGTAATTCTCTGGGCCCGGCTTGAAGGAATTCACACTGGCCAAGTATTTACCCTCCATAATTAGGGTAAACACTTGAGGTTTTATTCCAGACCTTCTATGACTTTCTCCAGGGGTATTATGTCCTTCCTTCTTAAACGCAGTGTAGTAATTACGGTTGTAACTGGTGTGAGGAAAGGAAACTAAAGTAGCTGAGGTTAGGCAGCAGGACTAACGCCATTGCAAAAACTGAGTTCTGTTCTCATTGACTATTTTCTATAGCACAGAAAAATCAATAAAGAGTTGACCTTGAAAGCAATCTAGGAAAAAAACCTCATAAATCTAACTAAATAAAAATATAAAACTTCCACACAGAAAAAATATCTTGAATGTATTTTTAAAAAAAAGGCAGATCTACATACTGATATGGAAAGATATCCAGGGTATACTGGGTAAGTGAAAAATACAAGTTTAAGAAGAGTACATAAAGTATAATCAAATTTGTGTAAATAAAAATAATGAGACACACTTCTACATGTATAGAAAAATTCTGATGGATAAATAAGCAACACATAAGACTGATTACCTTGGAGTGGGAATAGGAGCACAAGGGATATTTCTCTCAATGATGAAGAAAACCTAATTTAAAAATAACTGACCTTTCACAACTATGTAAATACATTAAACACTACTGACTGTAAACTTAAAAATGGTTAAGGTGGTAAATTTCATGTTACATGATTTTTACCACAGTAAAAAAAATGCATTAGAAAATTGATCTAGTTGGTAAGGAAGTGGCTAAAGCAGAACTAGAAATGTAAAGTGGTGCAGTTACTTTAGAAAATACTTCGGTGGTTTCTTAAAATGTTAAACACAGATTTACCATATGACCCAGCAATTTCCCTCCTAGGTATCTATTCAAATGAAAACATTTGTCCACATGTATGTTGGAGATGCGGGTAGGAATGAGGAATGACCGCAGATAGGTTTGAGATTTCTTTTTGGGGTGATGGAAATGTTCCAAAATGAGATAATTGTGATGGTTGGACAACTCTACATTTACTAAAAATCAAACAGAAATAGAAAAAAGAAACCTATTTGACAAGAAATACAGGAAACATATGCTCACTCCATTTAGCTCCAGTCTCCAGCCTCCCCTAACCCTTACCTTCTCTAACCGCTCTGGACTTGGCATTGGCAAGCTCTGCCGCTTGGCCTCCTGCTCTAGGGTTAAGAGCATGTTTCTTTCTTTCAGTAGGACATACCTACATAAAAGAACACAAAGCTTGTCATGTGGCTATGTAAATAAAGTTGTGATTTATGACATCAAAATTAATGATCTGTACTTGAAAGTCATTTAGAAATCTCAATATACAGAATATCATCACAAAGAATAATCCTTTATACAGAATGGTATCTTTGCTTATCCATTTGTTCAATAAACTTTCCATGTACCACATATTGTATTAAGTGCTAGGAGAGTTACAAAGAGGCATAATACATAGTCCTTAAGTTCTAAGTGGAGAGAGAAGGAAGATGGAAGATAAATATTTACCGAGGACCTGTTATATGCCAGGCAGTGTGCTTAGCACTTTATATACATTACTTCATTTAATTCTCACGACAACCTTTTGAAGTGGTATTATTTCCACTTCCTAAATAAAGAAACTAAGGCAGAGAGAAGTAAGGTATTCTGGGTCACACAGCTAATTCAAGGAACAAATCCTGGACTGCGTGTGTACAAAATCCATTCTATTTTCATTTCTGAAACTGTAACGTGATGTAGCATACTGCATGGGACAGACAAGTACCAAAAGAATTAAGTGGGAGAGAGGAGACATGTCTTCTAGCTAAGATGAAGCGAAAGCTTAATAGGGGAGACGGGATTTGTTAGGATGAAAGGGAGAGTAAAGCAAACAATCAAAGGTACTGAAGCAGCAGAGCTGAAGTGAGGATAGGCTGTCTGAATACATCTGTTTGAGAATCAGAACAGAAAGGAAATAAATGTGGAGGGCACTGAAAATGAGACAAGGGAATTGGGGTATTTTATACTATGGAAGAAGACAATTTTAGGGGAAGGAGTGGCAGAAGATTATTTGGTTGTAGCCATGATCAATGCTAAAATAGCCCTAACTATCCTTTTACTAATAACTCACAGTAACAGTGCTTTAATATAACTTATTTTTCTAAAATGAATAAACATAGTATTAGTGGTTTTTACAAACACTTTACAATTCTTTAATCTCCCATGAAAGATAACCCTTTAAATCAGGGCATAAAAATGTAAATGTCTACTACTAGAGTGCCTAGGCAGGTAACAATCATGAGTCAAGTGGATGCGGTGAAAGAACAAAGGGTAGGTAGGAGAAGTAGTGTGCGCTGCTCCATCTAGAAGTGGCAGTTGCTATAAAGACCAGCCAGTTGTTGCCATATAAGAATGCAAGGCCAGTGTTGTCAAATCACAGGTCTGATTATTCAAGAGAAGCCAGAAAGCCTTATTTTGTGCGTGAAATTTCCCAATTTTAAAAATAAGTACAGTCCAGGCCGGGCACAGTGGCTCACGCCTGTAATCCTAGCACTTTGGGAGGCCGAGGCGGGCGGATTGCTTGAGCTCAGAAGTTCGAGACCAGCCTGAGCAAGAGCGAGACCCCGTCTCTACTAAAATTAGAAAGAAATTAATCGGACAACTAAAAATATATAGAAAAAATTAGCCGGGCATGGTGGCGCATGCCTGTAGTCCCAGCTACTCGGGAGACTGAGGCAGAAGGATCGCTTGAGCCCAGGAATTTGAGGTTGCTGTGAGCTAGGCTAACGCCACGGCACTCTAGCCCGGGCAAAAAGACTGAGACTCTGTCTCAAAAAAAAAAAAATAAGTACAGTCCAGGCTGAGTGCAGTGGCTCATGCCCATAATCCTAGCACTCTGGGAGGTTGAGGCAGGAGCATTGTTTGAGGTTAGGAGCTCGAGACTGGCCTGAGCAGAGTGAGACCCTGTCTCTACAGAAAAGAAAAAAAAAAAAAATTAGCTAGGGAACTAAAAATAGAAACAAAAAATTAGGCGGGCATGGTGGCAAGCAACTGTAGTCCCAGCTACTCGGGAGGCTGAGGCAGTAGGATCACTTGAGCCCAGGAGTTTGAGGTTGCTGTGAGCTAGGCTGACGCCACGGCACTCTAGCCTGGGCAACAGAGCGAGACTCTGTCTCAATCAATCAATCAATAAACAAAAATAGGTACAGTCCATATGAAACACATCTTTGGGCTAAAAATGCATTAAAAATGCAATCTTGTCTTAAATCTTTTCAGCCCTCTCTAATTCATCAGGAGAACCTGCCAGAAGAGTCTATCTAAATTCTCGATTAAATGCACCCTCCAACACACCCCCAAAGCAAATAAGCTAAAGATTACAGACCATAAAAAAGGTAATAAAAAGGAGAGAAGTATAAATATGACCAACTATTCCCCATTTCATTTATTAGTTTACTGAAATTGCTAGTATAAAGGTGTTAATATGACCAGTAGCAGTTATAGTAAAATTTCTAAACTGCCAAGTACTTGAGAACTGTGATATATTTGTCTTAATGCAATCTAAACTGTCATATTTATAAAATTTTTCACGATCTTATATATTATCCACAGTACTATAAGACAAATCACTTTACTCAATTTCTCATATCAGATAGATATAAAGTTTTTACCTCATTGTTATACTGTAACTGTTTCAAACACGATGTTAATGTACTTCGTATACTTACCAAAGTTTATGTAAATCTTCATTACTTTTGTTCCTTAATTGCTGACAGGTCCATGATGCTCCTATTAAAATGATAATTCATAACCTGAAATAATGTTTCTAGTTATATCCCCTTGGCAAATTACTTAACCACTCTAAATCTGTTTCCTTATCTGTAAGATATTTAATAGCTTTATTATATTATATAACATAACATATAATTAGGACTAAATTGAATTAACACATATGAAAATATTAGTAACAAATAGCATTCAAAAATGTTAGCATTAGTACAGAATGCATTTCATACCCTAATGAGAAAACACTTATATTGTTATAATTTTAATTATCACTAAAAAATAAAATCTAAAATAAACCCTAAACTTCACTTTAATTATTAATTTCAACCAACTCCTCTTCTAAACCTTTTGCCAATCTGACAAGGAACAATTAACTCTACTATTACACTGTCCTTTCAATTTTCTCTAGTAGACAGTACCAAAGGAAATCGAAAAAGGAAACACCTAAATAATACCTAAATTGGATAAATAATCCTAGAATGATGGAGGGTTCAATAAATACATTTAATATTGACCAGTCCAAATATCTCACCAGATTTTACTTTTTCTTCTCCCCAATTCTTTGGGTCATCAAAAAATTCTTCCAGTCCTTTTCTTGATGATGTAGTATGAAGTAATTTGCACTGGTGAAAGGATGTGACATCTGGTATATTCTTAGGCAACAAACTAAGAGAAAGCCTGCAACTGAATGCATATAAACAAGTACTTAAAGTTTCATATTTGGATTTTAAAAGTAATAAACAGAATCATTTCCTCACCTATAATGTTAAAAAAGCCTACTCAGGGTTTCTGCACAAGCAATAAACTTTTAAAATGCTTTAGAATGTATTTTTAATATTGCATTATAGAAGTTGCTATCCTATAATTTCAGAGGTAATATATTTATATGATTATATTTTAAGGTAAAAATATTCTGAAGGTAAATTTCACATGTGTCAGGGGCCCAAAATGCTTCCTCCTTTAACTCGGTAATTCCTCATCTAGCAATTTCAACTGAAAAAATTATCATATATGGGAATTTATAAATTACGATATTGGCCAGGCTCACAACTGTAATCCCAGCCCTTTAGGAGGCCGAGGTGAGAGGATCACTTGAGGAAAAGGAGTTTGAGACCAGCCTGGGCAAGATAGCAAGACCACGTCTCTACAAAACATGAAATAATTAGTCAGGTTTGGTGGTGCAAGCTTGTAGTCCCAGCTACTTGGGAGGTTGAGTCAGTAGGAACACTTGAGCTCAGGAGTTCAAGGCTGTCTTGAGCTATTATCAGGTCAACACACTCCAGCCTGGGTGACAGAATGAGACCCTATCTCTAAAAAATATATTTTTTTAATTAAAAAATTACGATGTTTATTAAAACATTATATATGATATCAAAAGGTTGATAATTATGTGCAACTGGGAAATGGTTAAAAATTATTATGTATCTATATCATAAATTATTATGCAGTAATTTAAAAATTATGTCTTAAAAATTATTTAATGACCTGGAGAAATGATTTAAAACAAAATAGTGAAGTGCATCACAAGTGTTGTATTCCTACCAGAAATATTTAAGCTGAATCTAATCATGAAGAAATAATCAGACAAATCCAAAATGGAGAGAGATTCTTAAAAAGCTAATCTTTTTTTTTTTTTGAGACAGAAGCTTGC